GCCGGTGTTATTATCAACTCGAGTGCCCTTTGCTTATTCAGCCCCTGGATCAGCCTCGCCCTCGCTGCTCGATGCAATCGGACGCCAGCTGAGACCAATTCCACATGGACATGGCGACACGATAAAGTGAAGCTTCACTGAACCAACGTAGCCTGAAGAAAGCGAACTAGATCGTATCAAATTACACTTAATAAATAAATAAATATAAAATAAATAAAAACCTACTTCTAAGAATTAAATAGGACAATATAATTTTCACATCTTTAAAAGTTTGTGCTAAGAAATAATGTAGGTATAGAAAAATTAAAACACCGACTTCAGAAGTTATTAGTTCAGAAGCTAGTAGAAGTATTTTGGTTGGTTTATACTATTTAATTGGAAGTAAAATTTTAATTAATTGATAAATTAAATGGTCTTTGATAATTATCTTATATCTAAATGAAGTCACATTATTATCTCCAGCTTAGGTTATAGATAGGTCTGAGCGTCTTAGCGCGCGAAGACCTATCAATAATCTAAGATCTCCAGTGACCCCGGCGAAGCTGAAGCGGGTCGATACTTTATAATAAAAAACAATCATTAAAACCAGTTCACAATTAACAACGATATCGAGTGACACACATTGTGCTGAGGACGTGTGCTCCAGGAAACGGTTTTAACGCGTCTTTTCCGGTACTCCTACTCCTACCTAGTAGTACAACTACTTTACGGTACGACTACTAGGCGTAGTCCCGACAGCTATCGTCCACCCGATCCCTAAAAAAGGCGACCGCTCAGACCCGTCCAACTACCGGCATATCGCCATCACCTCCTTGTTCTCCAAAACAATGGAGTCTATTGTTAACTGCCAGCTCATGAGGAACCTTGAGGATCACCAGCTGATTAGTGATCGCCAACACGGTTTTCGCCGTGGTCGGTCAGCTGGTGATCTTCTGGTCTACCTAACTCACAGATGGGCGGAGGCAATAGAGTCCAAGGGGGAGGCATTAGCCGTTAGTTTGGACATAGCGAAGGCCTTCGATCGGGTTTGGCACAAAGCGCTTCTTTTGAAGCTCCCTTCCTATGGCCTTCCCGAGAAATTGTACGATTGGGTCACCAGCTTTCTTGCAGATCGGAGCATCAGGGTCGTTGTAGACGGTGCAAGCTCCGATTGCAAGCCTATTAATGCTGGTGTTCCACAAGGCTGCGTGCTATCGCCAACGCTGTTTCTTCTGCATAACAATGATATGTTGCAAACCCGTAACATTCATTGCTATGCAGATGACAGCACTGGTGATGCTCTGTACACCGGCCGTGCCAATATTTCTCGGGAAAACGTCTCCGAGTACCGGGACAAACTTGTGTCTGAAGTCGAGACTCTGCTAAACAGAGTCTCGGATTGGGGGCGACTCAATCTAGTCCAGTTTAACCCCCGGAAGACACAAGTTTGCGCGTTAACCGCCAAAATGAACCCCTTTGTCGTATCTCCTCAGTTTCAAGGCACCCCCTTTGTTGCCTCAGCCAGTATCGGAATCCTCTTCGTCGACATATTGAGTGACGTACAGTTTCGTGGTCACTTGGAAGAGAAGGCCAAACTGGCCTCTAAAAAGCTTGGTGTGCTCAGCAGAGCGGGACAGTATTTCATGCCGGCACACCGCCTGCAACTTTACAGGGCGCAGGTTAGGCCGCACATGAAATACTGTTCCCATATCTGGGCTGGGGCTCCCCAGTACCAGCTCCTTCCACTTGACCGCATCCAGCGCAGAGCGGCTCGAATCGTCAACGACCGAGTGCTTTCCGATCGGCTCGATTCACTGGCGCTGCGAAGAGATGTTGCATCTCTTTGCATTTTCTTTCGCATATACTATGGGGAGTGCTCTGAGGAATTGTTCGGATTAATCCCAGCCGACAAATTTCGTGAACGCACTACGCGGCAAACGTCCCGATACCATCCACACCATCTGGATGCTTGGCGGTCCACCACTGTACGTTTCAAAAGGAGTTTTCTTCCGCGTACGACCTCTCTGTGGAATAGTTTACCATCGGCGATTTTTCCGAACCGATACGGGCCCGATTACTTTCTAAAGGGCCGGCAACGCACCTGCAATTCCCCTAGTGTTGCGGTTGATCATGGGCGGCGGTAGTCACTTAACATCAGGTGAGCCGCATGCTCGTTTGCCCTCTCTTCTATAAAAAAAACATAAAAAGAATATACATACGAAACCATAAACAACCTGAAGTTTGAGGCGAAAACCTGAAATCAGCTGAAAATTACTAAAATAAACGTTCATAATAGCCTTTAACCGTTGAGAAGCCTTTTTGTGAAAAAAGTATCAATTAAAAAAAAACCGATCTTTAGTCGATACTGATACATTTACACAATACGAATTTCACCAATAGCCTGAGGTAGTCTACGACTAGTGTTGCCCAAAATCGGTCTTGGTCTTGTTCTTGCATTTTTGCAAGACCAAGACCAAGAACAAGACCGCCTAATTTTAGCAGGACCAAGACCAAGACTGACCGTGCAAGATTTGAGCAAGAACAAGACTAAGCCTGCGAGACTCTTGCAGTTAGGAATGAGTGTCGTTTCAGGGTGTATAGGAGTTCGGGTATACGCTTAGGGACTCTATGAGACGCAAAAATATATTTAAAAAAATTGGAAAATTGGACTTATGCGCATTACGAACAATACCATAAGCATACATAGCGGATGAAAATATCCATTAAAAGAAAAAACAGTGCATCCCTAGTTTTGACCATCGGCACTTTGATAGTGCGCGACGTCTTTTTGTCGGCATCATCAAAGGTCGAATACTGACCTGTCAAAGAAATTTTGCAGCTATTCGGAAGTACAAGGTCAAGATACACGCGCCGGCGGCTTCCATTAATATCGCATTCAATCGTCGCCGCCGCGCCGCACGCACTACATTTGACACTGTTTGAATGCCGCCACAAAGTACATGTTCCAAAGAATAAAATAAGTTTCCGGGTGCTCAGAATGGACACGAATATATTATGCTGATCTTGCAAGGAATATTGTAATTAGATAATGGTAAGGATAGGTAGATACCATAATAATTTATTCTAGTAAGTAATTATTGTAATATTAACTATATGGGTTTATAATAATTACTTACTATTATTATTATTATCTAATAGATAAACATGTTCAATAAGTTCAACTCAAATCTCGATTTTTGGAAGTGTGTGTTTTTGAACACAAAGTGTTCGAATATGTCGTCACCCATTTTATAAATATTGTAGACACTTTTAACACACTTGAAACGTGTAAACATTTTGTACAATGCTAATCGGTGCATATTAAATAAAAAGCGTAAAATAAGATCTATGTACTGTTTAGGAGCCCGAGTATCTCTTAGAGAACCGTTTAAAGAAATTGATTACATCGAATTGATGTAAATAATAGTGATTTGCACAATTTTAATAGTAAAAATAAAAATAAAATCACAATACCTGCTTTGCGGTTACACAAAGTATATAATGCGTTCTTGGGTAGCGATATAAGCTTTTATAATAAGATTCTAAAAGAAATGTTCGATCTTTCACCTATTCAATTTAAGTCAGACAAAAATGCTTGGAACTGACCTCTCGTACTACACAGGACTAACTAGAAATTTCTAGACCGATTTGGTATCTACAGATACATTTGACATTTTATGTTTGACTTATCGCTTTACATAATTATAGAACTATTGTAAAAATATTTTGAAAAGAGCAACTACTGAGTTTCTTACTTTCTTCCATGATTCTTCTCAGTAGAATCAGAACCCCTGGACATGGAAAAGAAAAAAATGTGGAAAAGAGTGATTATATGACTATTCAAAAGTGTATTTTTAATGCCTATTTTTAATGACGGTTACCATAGATTAAAATTTAACTTTTGTTCCGATCTAATTAATTAATCTATGGTAACCGCGGTTAACTATGACATATGGACGTTGAACATCTCAGTCCCGCCCGTGACCATGAGTGCTGTAAAGCGTTCGAAACGTCGGGTATTTAAAAAGTTAAATATACGCGATAAATTCCGTAAAAACTAGTATTATTTTAATCTACGTTAATTAAATTAAATTTGCCTTTACTCGTTTGAAATTCAAAATTAAAATATGTTTTATTCAAGTAGGCACGAAAAATACTCTTTTGAATAGTCATATAATCACTCTTTTCCCCAATTTTTTCTTTTCCATGTCCAGGGGTTCTGATTCTACTGAGAAGAATCATGGAAGAAAGTAAGAAACTCAGTAGTTGCTCTTATCAAAATATTTTTATAATACTATATATAATATTTTTATATATTAATATATAATACTTTTTATAATACGGTTTATGTGTATAAAAGTTGTTGATTACGTGATTTTTCCAAGAAAAACTAAGGTTGACAAGAAATTAAAGTGTTAAAGCAGTGTTTGAGTGTAATAACAATAACAAGTAGAATCTATTTCCTTTCAATTTAAATAATTGTCTCACTGTATACTAATATTTCAATGTACCTTACATTCACTTTGTAATTAAAGAATACGTCCTAGAAATAGATGACAAATTTCACCATCTGCGTAGTAATAGACGCAGCGTATTGGTTACGTAGTGGAATACACGAGTAACGAAATCTCGGAGAACCCGGTTCGAGCCCAACCAGAGTAATACTTTTTTCAATTGTTAGTCATTGAAAAATATTCGCATTTTATATTATAATGGATTCAAATAGTAACTCGAAAAGCAAATGTGCAGGTTATCCAAATATAATCAAAAGTCGTGAATATTTGAAATGCGCGTATTGTGGTCTCTGTTACGATTTATTGTGCGCAAACGTGTCTGCACAACGATTTGAACTTATGAACAGAGACAATAAAAAATCGTGGAAATGTCATGGTTGTCGCAATAAACAACCAAAGTCTGATAACACCAACACACCGGTGCGTACGCAACATATTAACATAGTTTCCGAAATATCGGATGCCCACGAGAATGTTGAGGATAATCATGACCACAATAATGTCACAATGCGGACAGCCCAAAAATTTATTATTGATGACTTAGATTCAGAGACTATGTTAAACATTAAAAATCTTCGGAAAATCATTAAGGAGGAAATAACGGCTGCTCTAAAATCAGCAATTCAAGTGCAAGTATCGGAACAGTTGGAGATAATTAAACAGCAAATTACCACTTTCCACGAATCGATGACATTTTTTAATGAAAAGTTCGAAGAAATGAAAAGAAACCTTGCAGAAAAATCAATTATTATAAAAAATCTTGAAGTTGATAATGAGAAATTGAAAGCTTCTGTTCACAGTATAAGGAATAATTTAAATATAATGGAACAATTCGCTAGATCGTCTAACATCGAAATACAATGTCTACCAGAAAATAGGGAGGAAAACATATTAAATACCGTTGTTCAGATAGGAAAAGTTATAAATTGTAATGTTAACGAAACCGATATCTCGCACTGTATAAGAATTTCGAAACAAAACCCACAAAGCACCAGGCCAAGATCAGTTCCTGTAAGATTTAATAACCAGCGTATACGTGACTCCTTCATTGCCAGTGCAAGTAAATACCAGCCTACTAGGAATTGCATCTGATCCACCGAAAACGATTTATATAGCAGAACATCTGACGGCTAATAACAAAGAACTGCATGCTGCAACAAGGGCTCGTGCAAAAGAACTAGGCTTCAGGTTCGTCTGGGTCAAAAATGGAAAAATTTTTGTGCGGAAAACAGAAAAATCTGAGTGTATTCACATTGTTAACGTGGATAGTTTAAAAAAATTAAGTCCTAATTCTGTGTAGACTATAATTTTTTTCTTTTTTTCACTATCAATGTCGCGTGCATAAAGATGACAGAATTCAATTCACGAAACAAAAGTAGACAGTTTATCATGGGGTTGTTAAATGTTCATTCGCTTAATACGGGTTGGGATGAACTTGAAGCCTCATTTCGGTTGGCTAACTTTGATGTCGTTTGTCTAACAGAGACATGGCTAAAAACTGACTCTGATATTGGTGCTTATGCTATTCCTGGCTATAATCTCATACATAAGCCTCGTTGTGGCCGTGGTGGCGGTGTGGGTGTATATGTGAGGTCTAATTTACGTGTAAAACAACTTAATCATCCCGATTCCATACTTGAACAATTATGGATTGATATTAAAATTAAGCGACATAGTTTATTAATTGGAATTGCTTATCGACCTGAGCTTGTAAGTCAAGATATCGCAATCGATGCTCTTGACGAATCTTTATCAATATTTGGATCTAATTACGAGCATGTATTTGTTGTCGGTGATATTAATATAAACTGTATAGATCGTAACAATCATGTAACTCTGCCTAAGTGTTTCGAAGTTCTTACTAACTCTTACAAGCTACATCAAATTGTTAATTTACCGACTCGTATAACGCCACATACTTCGACACTTGTTGATGTCATATTTACTAGAGTTAATTTGCAGCCCACATCGGTAGATGTTGTACATAATGATGACTTAAGTGATCATGGACTAGTAATAGCGACATTTCCTATTAGTGTCCCTAATAGAAAACCCCGTACTGTGCAATACAGACCACTGACAGATAATGCCGAATATATTAAGAAAGCATCTGCATTCACTCCTTGGGAACTCATACTGGAGTATAATGAACTTAATGATATGGTTAATTTATTCAATTTTCTTATTTTAGACCTAATAGATACTTTTGCACCGGTAGTTACACGTAAATTTAAAAATCCCCCATCTCCATGGATGACTAATACTCTTATGAACATGAGAAATATTCGTAATAAAGCTTGCCGGAAAGCTAAAAAATGTAATTCCGAATCAGCTATTAAATTTTACCAGGACATGCGCAACATATATAATTGTGCTGTTCGTGTTGAGAAACAGGCATATTTTACCCAATTTGTAAATAATAATATTAATAATCTGTCTTTAATGTGGCGGCACATTAATAAAACAATTAAGAACGGTTCTAGTAAATCAATTCCTGAACATCTTTTGGATGCCACAAAACTTAATACACATTTCATAAATAGTGTTCCTGTGTTGTCGGTTGACTTAAAACAGTTCGAAAATTTTGAAAGTACTCGTAGGAGTAACTTATCGGAGTTCAATTTTAATAGAGTGAGTGCATCAGAGCTACAGAAGATTATATTAATTCCTTTTCTTCTAACTCTAAAGGATGTGATGAAATTTGCATGAATATGATTAAGCTTACATTACCATACTCTTTAGTTGCTATTGAAGCAATCGTTAATAAATCATTGTTAGAAGGAGTATTTGCCGATGTTTTGGAAGTGCTCATTGATCATACCTATACCTAAGAAACAGAAAATAGACAGCTTTGATGACCTCAGGCCAATAAGCATATTGGCTGCCTTGTCAAAAATAGTTGAGAAGTGTGCACAGTCACAAATTACTAGCTATCTTAAAAACAATGCCATTCTTCCAGTCTTCCAATCGGGTTTCCGGCAAAAATTTAGCACAACTACAGCATTATTACACATCACGGACGATGTTCTTACCGCCGCTGATAATGGAAAAGGTACCATTTTAGTGCTACTTGATTTTTTTCGAGCTTTCGACTGCGTTAATATACCACTTTTACTGGCAAAATTAAAAATATTTGGTTTTTCCGAAACAGCATGTTCGTGGTTTCAATCATACTTCTACGGGCGGAGTCAAAAAGTAAAATGCACCAATACTGAAGGTAATATTGATATTTCGGAGCCACTATCAATTTCTAAAGGCGTTATTCAAGGTTCTATTCTTGGCCCAACACTCTTCGCCTTATACACAACAGTCATAAAAAACGTAGTTCAGCATTCCAAATATCACCTATATGCCGATGACACTCAATTGTACGTCCATATGTCACCAACAAAAGATGGTATTACAACAGCGGTTACCAGCTTAAATAATGATCTAAAATTAATAGAGCATTGGTCAAAGTCTCATGGCTTGCTTCTGAATCCCAAAAAAAGTACATGTATAATTATGGGTACACGTCATCAGGTTGCATCTATCAAAAAAATTGACCCAACTGTCATGATCAATGACGCAACCATACCTAGAAATAATTGCATTCGTAACTTGGGCCTTAATATGGATGAAGGTTTAACGTTTGTACAACACGTACAACAAAAAATAGGAAAATGTTTTGGGTCTTTAAAATCTCTTTACAAAATTCGTTCTTTTCTGAAACCAAACATCCGACTCCGCCTTTGTAATAGTCTTGTCTTGTCACATTTGCATTTTTGCGACTTGGTATATGGTCCCTGCCTCTCTCAGAAAACCATAGGGAGAATTCAAAGGGTTCAAAATGCATGTATGCGCTATTGTTTTGACATACCTAGGACTAACCACATAACTCCTTATCTCCTCAAAAATAATATTTTAAGTATGAGTTACACCAGAAAATTAAAATATGCTTGTTTCGTACACTCATTAAATAATTCGCAATGTCCTCATTATTTATATGAAAAATTATCTCCAAAATGTCGACTAACACGTTTGAGACGAAGGGGTAAACTATTATATATACTTCCAACTTATAAACGTGTTAAAGCAAAAGGATGTTTCAAATATGCTGCCTCCAAAATTTGGAACAATATACCTCCTCCTTTGCAGGAGATCGTAAATACAAATTTATTTAGAAAGAAATGTAAAGTATGGTTACTTGAACAACAAAAGTTGGAGGCAGGTATGAAGTATTATATATAACTACAGACTTAATTCTTACTAATACCATTGAGAGTCGTTGAAGTTTCTGGTAGGCCCCGAGGCGATTGTCTCCTTTACCTACTACTTACTAAATTTGCATAGCACATATGAATAAACATCTTAGTCTATTCTTTAGTTGTATTACGTCAATGCCAAAATTAGGTTAATATACTGTGTTTTTAAAATAGTCGGCTGTGGCAGAATACCAGCGGTGACCTAAAATCACCACATAGCTGAGTCACAGGCCAGTTTGTCTCATTACTGTTATGTTACTGTATGTTTCTAAGTTAAGTTTGTAATGATTTCTATTTGTATTTTTTTAATAACATGTGTAAACTGAGACAAATAAAAAGCTTTATTATTATTATTATTATTATGTGAGTACTGGCAAGATGCACTGGTCGAAGACTTTCGTCTACATGCCACGTCAATAACTTGTTTTCGAGGGTCGTTACGAGTCGACCAACCATTTGAAAATCGTCAAGTCTCCGCGCAACTCGATTCATAAAACGACCACCATAGACCATATTCACACAGTAAGGCCAATTGTACAGAAGAATACGAGTTCAACAAAACTAAACGTCAGCCGTCAAAGCAATAGCCGAGCACGGATTCCGGTTCAGAGTTACACAAAAACACTGCAAGTTGAGAATATTTCAATCCGTTATCCTGTGATAGTTTACTTGTTGGATATCCAGTTATTTTCACTTCTTTTAAATCAACATCTCTACCAGAGAGTAATTATAAAGCTCATTTTCCAAAATCTTTTCCCGTTTATAAAGGCTTGAGCAATTTCTCTCAACATTTTTGTACTAAAGACATTATATAATAAATAATTAAATAGCTATAATAAATAATATGTTTCAGAATTATGTATAACATCCGTCGTGTTGCGAACAAAATAAATTCGGAAGGAATAATTAGAACGCTATTTGGCAATTTCAGGACTTGCCAAATGGAAGTCTGTTTTCCCTGCCTACCTCTCGGGGTGGCAGACGTGACAATTTATGTATTTAGGTATATCTTTCTTACATATAAATTGGATGACAAACGAGCACACAGTCCACCTGATGGCAATTAGATGCTGCTGTCCGTAAACATCTACATCTATCTTTGATTAAGAATCAAGATGTAGATGCGTTGTCACCTCTGAGGACTAAGATGGAATGTCTCTATTCCAGTAAAAATGTCTTATCGACACTTCATTTTCGTGTACAAATTATGTTTAAATTATCAACATTAACCTGATATGCCTTGGTGTGTTAACGCCTGAATGAATAAAAAAGCAGAAGTTTCTTTTTTATTTATTCAGGCGTTAACAGTTAGGAAACAGGATTATTTTTTTTTATTAAGTTGCAGCTTAGGAACAAGGGTTAGTTTCTTCTTTTTGTAATTTATGTTTTCATATAAGTAAGTTAATGTTTGTAGCTTAACATTTTACAAGAATAAATTTATGTATCTCCTTTTACACAGTGCATGAAACCTTACTATTATTTGTACTTGCATATAAGTCCGTGTCATTATTTTGTCCATATATTGTCCACGTAATCATGATCAAGTAAAGTAATGATTTCAAAAGAAGTTTTGTACTTTATGTATCGATCTGATCAATATATTTTCTGTCTATACCTAAGTATATACTTATATATAATATTCTCAGTCTACGTAGTGGCCATATTTTAAACTTAAGTTTAAATATATAAATAATTATATACCGTTATTGCATTTTTTGAAAATACGAATAAATAAGGGTTCTACTTTTATTTGAAAATATCCCAAATTGAATGTGAAATATGGACAACAACGTTTTCCCCTACCGATCGACCCTTACAAATGTGTGCGTGCGCAGTAAAATCAATTAAAATAATATACTAACTACGCATTTTTAATTTAGAAGATAAAAAGACAAAATGTTTGAGACTTTTTTAATTAATTTTTCTTCACCATTTGCGCATATTACTTATTCCTTCTCTGCAAATTTGGCCGGTTTTGCAAATAACCCTGTATATAAAACAATTATAGGTACGTAATGATTTCTAACTCGTACCGCTTTCTACAGTTTCTCGTATATCTATAATATATTTTATTTAGTTGGCAGCCCTAGGCGGGAGGCCACTACAGCGGGACGCGGCCCGCTTGAATATGTTGATTGAGTTCGTGTACGATTGAATGGCCTCGCGTCTATTCATCGCTGTCAATAGTTCATCAGCTTGCTCCCCCGGCCCCTTCCCGCACACCGATCTCCACATCACCTCCTACTCGCGATATATTTATTACTACTAACTAAAACAGCAACGAATCGCTTTCGAGAGCTTTCGTTACAATTCTGTTTGGTTAACAGCGTGTCTACTGCGGAAGAGGGTTGTTAATTTCATACCACTCGTAGGGCACTTAATATAATATTATTGTATGTAGTAGTTGCTTCTCTATGTAGTATAAAACAAAGTCAATGTCGCTTCCCGCCGTCTGTATGCTTATCTCTATCTTATATATATCTTTTCTACGTTACGCAACGGATTTTGATGCGATTTTCACAATAGAGAGAATGATACAAGAAGAAGGGTTATATGCACGCGTCATAAGCAATGCGGCTGTTCCAAATGTTATGCCCGACAGACACACAGACAGGTAGACAAAACTTGCAGACATTACAGACAGACACTTTAATTATATTTATACGTATCTATATGATATATATATATATATATATATATATATATATATATATATATATATATATATAAATGTATAGATATAAGTATCTAACTAATGGTTAGCCCTCATACCAACTTTCAAGAAGAAGTCCTCTACTAAAAAATCTTTTGTAGATGGCAGCTGATGGAATAAGCATAGTCCGTCTTTATAAAGCTGAAATCTCACGGAACGGCAATGGGGAGCAGTATTACCGGTGCGTGAGTGTCAAACTCTCTAATTTCTGATAGATTTTTGAAACCTGGATAATGTTCACAGGGCTACCCTAACGCGTGTGCAGGCTTCACTCGTCCTTTTCTAATTTTTTTATAGGGTAGGGTGACAAACGAGCACACAGTCCAGCTGATGGCAAGTGGTTGCTGTGGCCCATAGACATTTACATCTATCCTCGATTACGAATCGAAATGCAGATGCGTTGTCACCCGTGAGGACTAAGATGGAATGCCTCGTTTCCAGTAAAAAGGGTCTCCGGTTCTCTACACTCACCATACGAAACACAGCAGCATTAAGCTATTATGAACCATTCGTACTACTATACTACTAATATAGCTGCAGCATAGCTCTACCACGTATAAATAGTCTTAGAAATATTACTTATTAAATCTTATTACACAAAATTTCTCGCGATGTTTTCTTTCACCGTAAAATACGTAGAAGGTCAGAGCTTAAAATTTTTATAATTAACAATTCTTTTGGCAACTCGGTTTGGTTTACTGGTTTGCTCATCACACATAAAGTACACGGGGAGAGCGGTGGCGGGAAATACACACACACTACATAAATACGCCAATACAGATGTGAAATGTCTGCTGCTGCGAACGCAAATCCACCGCAAGCGTGATGCCTACGAGTTACTGTATATTGTCCCTTCTGCTGCCAGTGCTGTTACGTGTACGCCCACGCGACCTTCCTCTTGACCGTCCACGAGGAACTCCCCGCGTGCCTCGCCTAGTCTTTCCGCGAGCTTGTATAAATGATGTACTTATATCAGGTCCATCACTTTCTTCCTCCGTAGAACTCATACTGCTTTCTGGTCGTACGAATTCCGGATCGTCGAAATCATCATCGGAAGGCACGAAGTCCCCAATATCGGAATCTTCTAATAAATTGCCGATGGCTTCATCATCCAATTCTGCGAAAAAATCACAATTTACCAAAAAGTTCTGCCCGATGTGATTTTTGTATCACATAATATTGTTGATGTTAACTAAAAATCCAATTATTAACGAAAATCAAAAATAGTTACAAAAGTCAAAGTATTGATTATTTAACTTTAATCCTGTTTATTTTTAATAAAGAAAAGCCACCAATCTAAATGATAGTAAGAGATTAAACAAACCTCCTCTCCGACGTGACTCCATGTTTAACACGTAAATGGCTTCTGACGTTAATCTGTGGTCTATTACTCGAATAGATTTAAGGTTCACTTATAGGTTATAACCTAACCAATCACAGGAAACTTCAAAAATGCTGAGTAAAAAATACAAATTCTAGGCGCAAAATTTGAATATGTGATTTTTGAAAGACAGTGGGCAGAATTTAGAATTTTACAATATTTTAAATGGGCAGGAACAGTGGAGTATGTCCTGTGATTTTGAAATCACAATGGGCAGGACGAGGATAACTCTATATTTTTATTACGTTGCTTACTCTAGCCCAGTCGTAAGATACGTTTATCTATTACTACCTTTGCATGGTTTATCTAAAATCGCTGACACTGCTCCGTAGTTTTAGATCAGATTATTCAGCAAGGAACGTAAAAGAGGGCCGGCGACGACTCCTGACCCAGCGATCAGCGGCGTGATATCATTGTCGAAGTCTTTGTTGCTCAGATAGCGATCACAATGTTCCCAGTGGGCACACTTGCTTTGTCCGTGTCTGTTACAACGCTAGATACAGTTCAAGTGGTCCCCAAAGCTGTGACTTGTGGACAGTCTTAAAAGCTGCCTGATAACAACGACTGAACAGGCGTGTCACTTTAGCCTACGACATCAGAAACGCGAGTAAAAAAGTATAGAAAATCCAAAAGTGCACGCCTCATAATCTCATTTGATTATATAAAAAGAAAAAAATATCTCTTTTTCCATATTTGAGACGAAAAAAGAGATCCATGAAAATATGAAATGAATTTTTTATAGAAAATAAAAAAATATACTTAAAGTAGCTTGGTTGCCCAGATACCGATAATATAACAACAAAATTTCACACTTATTTTAACCAGGGAACTACTCACAGAAATTTTTGAAGGAAAAAAATTCCGAAATGTTAAGTTTTACGGTTCTGCTTATGACTCATTCATAAATTTGTTTTTTAATCAGTTTTATTTTGAACTTTTTACTTACGTAAAAAATACATATGTATATAGATTTACAACATGTATAACAAAAATCCAACGGAAAAGTACCAGTTGTTGTTTACATTTTCATTAATTACAATGAAACGATACCAAATTATTGTGATTTTTAAAAGGAATCTGTGCGTTGAGATTCTAAACCTAATACTAAAATGTATTGTTTTGATACATTAATTCTAGCGACCATAATCGTGCGCCATCCACACATGCAGACATCCGGACACCATCGAATTTTTTTCAATCAGTTTTTTTTCTACAATAAATACCAAAAATTACTTTTAAAAATAAAGGAAATGTGAAAGCGAGTATATGTGTAATTTTATTATTCTAAAAGTGCAATAGCAAATAAAAAATAAACACATTTTTAGCTCAGAAACTAACTGGATTTCTAGAGCACAACCTCAACGCTTAAGACGCGTGCAATAATCAAAAGTCAACTTATTGAAAATTAACTACTGTGTCTTACATACTTTTCTACTCTGTTTATTTGTATATTTTTAATTTTATCTAAAAACTTTTTACTTCTATTATATTTATTTATTATAAATATGTACGTGAAAATGAATACGTGTGTATAGTATAAATATTGTGTGCACATTAATATAACACTTTAAAGCACACATTGTAATACATACATATTATTTTCCGTAAATCATAATGACATGTTTTAGAAAAAATACCTAAAAATTGTTGTTTTTCAAGAAAATCCTGAAAATCATGCGGCCATTGAACGTTCTGCTTCACTAACCATCAGTGGCCAGTAAAGGGGACACTAACGAAATCTATATTAGTTTTGTGAAGGGATATAAAAAAAGACTTCAATTATGAATTTCCTAATTAGTCTTTAATAAAAGAATATTTTATACTTACCTAACATAGAACAATCAGCCTTCAATTAGAAATATAATTAACATATATTATTTCTTCGAAAACAGGTTTTTAATTTTTCTTATCACAATCAAACAGAGTAAAAGGTATTATCCATTGAATGATTACCTACGTTATTTAATTTGCCCTTCATTATGGAATGACACAAAGCATTCTACATATAGGACTACATGAACTGACCTAATATGCTACCTAATATGCCTAAAATTGACATAATATGCCAAAGTATGTTGTCTTATTCATATTGTCGTATTTAATAAGTCTGTATTTTGAACTTTTAAACTAAAAAACGAAAGTATTTTGTGTTATTTGATATATTTTATTTGATTATGTATAATATTAATTACATAATAAGAATTATTTTCATAATAATGAGAGGGTGCGTAATCTGTAAAACTCGTTACCAAAAGGGAAGTGGTATAACATTTCACAAGTAAGTGAATTTGCAGTAAATATTAAACAAATTAAAACTTTTTGATAATATAAGTACATAGAAATTTGTTACTAATCTTAATATCATATATACCAACATGTTTAGCTGTATATTACTGAGTTTTGATAAACAATATAATTCAATAGAGTTGTCGAGTTCCTTGTCTGTAATACTTATCGATGTCCTTTCCTACCCATATCTGTTAACAAACAAAGTCACCAACAACAGATGATTATCAAATGTTTATTAATTAACAGGTTTCCAACTGAACCTAGACTAAAATTATGGCTTAATATCATAAATATTGTGAATTGGCGTCCGAAACAAAATGATCATATTTGTTCCAAACATTTCACAAACGACTGTTTTATTAGGAAAAAGTGCAGTATACCGACAATATTTTCTGGTAGTACCAGTACCAAGCACTACCAACTACCAAGTACTAAGTATTAGATTATTATTTCGAATGATTTTTTATTTCTTCTTTCCTCATTTTCCACCAAACTCAAGGGCCATAGCCAAGTGTCAAAAGGTCGCCTGATGATGTCGAGTCACGTTGGATGTGTGTTAGTGGGCTGCGGCTAGAGGAGATTCCTCTCCCTGTACTGCTGGAAGAGGAGTGTTGGTATGGCGATTGGCGATGCGCCACTCGACTGTTTTTCGCGACTTTGGTGAGGCTGCACAACTTGATGCTTCCAAGTGCTCGTTTTTCCCTGGCTCCATTCACATATCGGGCTCGGTAATTGATAATTTCAGTTTTTTTTTTTAATATTGTAATTTTAATTTCGAAAATGACGTTGTAAGTAACTAATAACTATGTAATTCAAAGTTTATATTTTTTATATAATCTTACTAGCTCATACCCGGCGCATTGCTGCCGTAGAAGAAATAATTGTGGAAATATCGTTAAAAATGTGGAACAGTTATATTGTATAATTAGGAATGATAATCATCATCATCATCATTACAGCCCTTCAAAAGTCCACTGCTGAACATAGGCCTCCCCCAAGTAATGCCACAAAGCACGGTCCTGAGCCACCTGCATCCATCGACTTCCTGCATATCTTACCAGGTCGTCACTCCATCTAGTGGGGGGTCGCCCTACACTACGCCTACCGGTACGAGGCTGCCACTCAAGAACCTTTCTTCCCCATCGGTTATCGGTTCTTCGAGCTATATGGCCGGCCTTACTAATCCGTTGGGCTATGTCGGTCACTCAGGTTTTACTGCGGATATCCTCATTTCTGAGTCTATCACGCAGATAAACTCCGAGCATAGCCCTCTCCATAGCTCGCTGAGCGACCTTGAGCGTCCTCATACGGCCAGCAGTGAAGGATCAGGTCTCTGATCCGTAAGTCATCACTGGCAACACGCACTGGTTGTACACTTTAGTTTTCAGAGATTGAGGTATACCTGACGAGAAGATGTGTCGTAATTTCCCGAAGCTGCCCAACCGAGTTGAATCCGTCGATTGACCTCTCGGTCGAATTTGGACTTACCTAGTCAGACTATTTGTCCCAGGTAAACGTACTCGTCAACAACTTCGAGCATAGTGCTCCCAACAACTACCGGCATAGGTGTGACATGGACATTGAACATGACCTTTGTTTTGTCCATGTTCATCTTAAGACCTATCCGTTGGGAGGCACTATTGAGGTCATTGAGCATAGTGCTTAAGTCCTCCAGCGATTCTGCCATAAGGACTATATCGTCGGCAAATCGAAGGTGAGTGATGTACTCGCCATTGATGTCAATACCGTATCCCTTCCAGTCCAGTAGCTTGAAAACGTCTTCCAATGCAGCGGTGAAGAGTTTCGGGGATATAACGTCACCCTGTCTTACACCTCTCTGCAGTTGGATAGGTTTCGAGCTCTGGTTCTGTACTCGGATAGCCATCGTAGCCCTACTGTACAAACACTTCAGCACTTCGATATACCGACAGTCAACTTGGCACCGCTGGAGGGACTGTAGCACCGCCCAAATTTCGACGGAATATCATCGGAATAGTGTCGGATAAGACTTGCTCTTGGATCGTTACTCACACTTGCGTGTGGCTCCAACGATGATGTGTACAGCTGCCCATAGAACCTCTCAATCTCACTCAAAATCTCAGGTGTCCCGGAAACGATGCTGCCACACTCAGTCTTCAGCTTTGACAGTTGGCTCTTACTGGCAGACAGATCTCTGGCAAAGACTTTGGAGCCCTGATTCCGCTCGATCGCTTCTTTAATACGAGAAGTATTAAAGTTGCGTAAGTCTCGCCGCATGCATTTGGAGATCTGTCTGTTCAGTTGCCTGTATGCTGTCAAATCTGTTGACGATTGTAGCCTCATCTCCCGTCTAACAGCCATGAGATTAAGAGTGTGATCGGAGAGTTTTTGTGTTCTTCTGCGGCGGGTCTTGCAGAACTTAGCTCCGACCGCATGGACAGTTTCCACGAGCTTGTCATTCATATCGTCCACTGAATTGCAATCTTGTAGGCACTCAAAGCGGTTACGTAACTCGAGCTGAAAGTTTTCGGGATTCTGAATTAGAGCAAGAGGGGGACGGAGCGTAGACTTCATTAGACGAGACCTCTCCAACTTAACGTTTAGGTTCAGTGTGCCTCTAACCATTCGGTGATCGCTGCCAGTTTTCACCCTTGCGATCACTGAAACATCACTGAACAGTTGGCGTCTGGTCGTCAT